TGTGAAAGGAAAAGATATGTTTCTTAACTAGGAAAATAGTCTTATTAATATGTTAATGACAGTGAATATATAAAACAAAAACAAAACTGGAAACCAGAGACAGACAGGCTTTAGAAGAATATACATGGAAAATAACACTTTGGGGTAAATACATCACTAATCAAAGCCTCAGCCCTAACAATTGAGAGTTTGATTAATAAGATATGCATGAAGGAAGGACAATATTCATGCCTCTGAGATGGGGAGCCTGTGGACTCCAGAAACACCATGTTCTTGGATGGAACAAGCATTTTATAAAACCCAAAAAGTCCATATTTCATCCTGTTCTGCCCCTTTCACCCTTACCAAAATGGATCCAAATACAGAACACCTATTAACTCTGCTATTCTAAAATAAGCATTGAGTCATCCTTTTTTTTCTGGTTCAATCAACTCAGCTTCTTAGACTTCTCTTGAGCCAGGAAGCTTTACAGGCATTCATCATTTCTGATTCATTCATTCTTTTGTTCTGTATCTTAAAAGCTCTGCAGGTTTGGAATTTATAACAGAGTTGCAATCGTTTTCAAAAACAGTCAACAAATTTTTTTTGAACACCAGAGTGGTGCACACAGCATGCTGAGAGTATACTGACCACAGGTGGACTTACGTTGCTACTAAGTACAAAGCCATCATAGGAAACGGGGGAAAAAAATGGAAAACACAGCTCTGCCACTGAGGCTCTTATAGTCTGATTCTAATAGAAATGACTGTGTGGGACTGCACAGAGCAGTCCTAGGAAGTGAAGGCGAGCACAAATGCTGACTAGTGGCCTTCCTTGATGGGTCACTACTCATGTTCTGAAGCTGTGAACTATTCTCCTCTTCCAAGTTTACTGGATTTCAAAACTCCAAACCCCCAAAACATCTTTGGTCAATCCCATTGTCAATGGAATGGGTCCCGATAGGCTCCCTTTTGTTTAATTGAAAAGGCAATGCACATATTTTGTTCTAAAAATTTAAATAGTAAAGAGGGATTTATAGTGAAAAATACATTCCTGTCCTCCCCACCCTAGATCTTCAGTCTATCCTTCCAGCGATAATCATTACTTTCACATTCTTGTATCTAGAAAAAGTCTACTGCAATATGAAAATAGATATATAGCCCCACCCCTACTTTAAAAAAATAACATTTAGGCCGGGCGCGGTGGCTCACACCTGTAATCCCAGCACTTTGGGAGGCCGAGGCGGGTGGATCACGAGGTCAAGAGATCGAGACCATCCTGGTCAACATGGTGAAACCCCGTCTCTACTAAAAATACAAAAAATCAGCTGAGCATGGTGGCGCATGCCTGTAATCCCAGCTACTCAGGAGGCTGAGGCAGGAGAATTGCCTGAACCCAGGACGCAGAGGTTGCGGCGAGCCGAGATTGCGCCATTGCACTCCAGCCTGGGTAACAAGAGTGAAACTCCGTCTCAAAAAAAAAAAAATAACATTTTATTAGTACAGTTTAAAATTTACAGAATCATCGGACAGTACATAGAATTTCATATGCTCAACCCCACACCCTGCTCTTGACCCAGGTTTTCCTATTATTAATGTCTTGTGTTAGTGTAATATGTTTATTAAAATTAATAAATATGCATTAATTTTAACTACAGTCCATAGTTTACATTAAGTTTCACGCTGTGCTTTCTAGTTCTAGGGGTTTTGACAAATGTATTATATAATGATGTGTACCTACTATTATAATTCTTATACAGAATATTTTTACTGCCCTAAATATCCCTGTTCTTCACCCATTCAATCCTCCCCTCCTTACACTCTGCTTCTTTTCCAAACCCCTGGAAACCACTGATATTTTTACTGTCTCTATAGTCTCGCCTTTTCCAAAAATGTCATACAGCTGGAATCATATAGTACATGTCTTTTCAGACTGACTTTTTTTTTTTTAAGCAATATGCATTTAACGTTCCTCCATATCAAAACTGAATTTTTTCTTTAGCAACATGCACTTAATGTTCCCCTACATCTTTTTGTAGCTTGGTAATTCATTTCATTTTATTACTTAATAAAATTCCATTGTATGTATGTATCATAGTGTATTCATTTATCTATTGAAAAGCATCTTGATTGCTCCCTATTTCTGGAGATTATAAGTAGAGCTACTATAAACATTTGTGTGCAGGTCTTTATGTGGGGAAAAGTTTTCAAACCATTTGGGTAAATATCTAGGATCATAGTTGTTGGGTAGTGTGGTAAGACTATGTTTATAAGAAATTGCCAAACAGTTGAAGTGGCTGCACCATTTCACATGTCTACCAGCAGTGAGTGGGTATTCCTGTTTTTCCACTTCCTTACCACAACTTGATGTTACCTGCTTTTCTGATTTTTGACAGTCTAATAGGTACTTAGGGTATCTTGTTTTTAATTTGCAATTCCCTAATGACATATGATGAGCATCTTTTCATATGCTTATTTGCAGCTGTGTGCCTTCTTTGGTGAGGGATCTGCTTAGATCATTTGTGCAAATTTTAATTGGGTTGCTTATTTTCTTACTGTTGAGTTCTAAGTGTTCTTTGTAATTTTAAATAAAAGTCCTTTATCAGATATATGTTTGCAAACATTGTTTTTTCCCCAAAATGTTTCTTCATTCTCTAACAAAGCAGAAGCTTTAAATTTTAGTAGACTCCAATCTATTTTTTTTCTTTATGGATTGTCCTTTTCATGTTGTATCTAAAAACTCATCACCAAACCCAAGATTACCTTGATGTTCCTCTGTTATAGTGCATAGGTTATAGTTTTGCCTTAAATTTAATACTAAAATCCATTTTGATTTTTTTTGTGTGAAAGGCATAAAGATTATGTCTACTGAATTCACATTTTTTTCTGCATATGGACAACCAATTTTCACAGCATCATTTTTTGAAAAGAATATCTTTTTTTCTATCCGATTACCTTTACTCCTTGGTCAAAGATTAGTTTGTATAAGTCTATTTTTGGTCTGCCAGTCTGTTCCATTGATCAATTTGTCTATTCTTTCACCAACACCATGTTGTGAGCATTGCTGTAGCTTTACAGTAAGTCTTAAAGTCAAGTAGTACCAATCCTTCTACTGTATTCTTGGGTATAATGCTAGCTATTCCAGATCCTTTGCCTTTCTATATACATTTTAGATTCAGTTAGTTGACAGCTACAAACTAACTTGCTGCAATTTTGATCAGGATTGCATTGAATCTGTACATCACCAACTGTCTTCTGATTGTTACTATTACTGCCTATTTTTTGTTTCTTTTATTTTAGCCTACTTTTGTCTTTATATCTTAAGTGCATTTCTTATAGGTAGTTTATTATTGGATCTTTTTCATCTAATTTGACAGTCTCTGCCTTTTAAATGAGAATCTCTAAACCACTTATAGTTAATGCATTTATATCATTAGTTCTAAATTTACCATATTTGTTTGTTTTCTATTTGTTCAATCCATTCTTCCCTTTTTCCTCTTGTTTATATCTTGTATTTATTGTAAATGTATTATGATTCTAGTTTATCTACTTTTTTTATATGTCTGAGAGAATGTTTTTCTCTACAGATTATTTCAGAGATTTCTATTTCTTTTCTGTCCCATCTAAATACTGGGTAAATGGGAAAAAATGTATGGAGAAACGTTTTAGAATTTTAAAGAATCTTAGTATTTGATTTTTTTTCTCTTATACCTATTATAAATGATTCTAAATTTTGCCCCTCACTTGCCCATATATATATACACACATTGTGTTAACAAAACATAATTTATATATTTAATTCTCATAGCATTATGAGATGGAGATTGTTACTATTTCAAATTTACAGATGACAAAATTAAGGCACATAGACATCTAGTAACATCTAAGTTCATGTAGTTTTATCCAGAAAATCGTGGATTTCCAATCTGATTACCACTACTCCAAAATCTGGTGCTAGTCTTGTTCTCAGTTTTGGCTGCCCTTCCTCTATCCTTCACTGACTTATGGGAGCCTATGACTCTGTCTTAGCCTGGAAAGATGAAGATCTAATTAGAACTCCAACTTCACTCCTGGTGTCCTACCCTTGCCTTGTCCACACCCCTGTCAGGGTGTCTGGAGGGGTCCCAGGTTTTTGCATGCATCGGAACTTGCTGCATGTACTCTGTCCACTAGTTCTGCCCTCTTGAGATATACTGTTTCCTGAAAACTTGTGAATAAAAGAAAGTTTTTCTCTTGTCTGTGCATGTGCCACTGGCTTCCTGCCATCCTGCCCTGCCCTTGCAGAGAGACCTCCATCACCTCATGCTGACTATTCCACTGTTCCTGGCACCAGGAGAGTCGATTCTTGCTTCTCTTTGTGGTTTTTTTTTTTTCTTACTACTATAAATCTTGCAATTTTTCCCTTGAGAAAATCCTGACTTTTCTCTTCTGATGGAACTTCCTAATCAAGTGGTTATTGCCAGATACTAAGTCAGTGTCTATCTTTACAGAATGCCAGTTTCTCTGATGCATCAGTCCTACCTGGATCACTAACTCTATGCCCTTCTAGCCCACTTTGGGTCAAGCACGTCATTTTCTTCTTCCCCACACTATTAGCATTTCCATTCCCTCACACAACATCAGCTCCTATATCATCGGAAAGGATCACCATCCTTCTGGTTTAAAATCCAATTCTGTTTATCTTTTCTCTTTCTTGGCAGCTGAGCTAGGCTTTGCCTGGATATAACTTATGACCTGTTCTTTATGGAGAGGTGATTTTCTTACAGTTCCATTCCCTTCCCAGATATCAGCAAATGGCCCTCCTAGCCCAGAGGTCTCCAGAGAGGTATTTATAATAGACAAATTAGTGCAAATTCATAATTCCTTATCTTTAAACATTTGGAAATTGAAATAAAAATAATTTCCCAGAGTCTTTTGCTTCAATGAAATTGGTAATCTTATTTGAAAGGTTATTATGCAGAGTTAACATGACCAGGCAATTGTACATGCAGTAGAAACAGAAAAAGAATTGAGGTTATTAAACAATAACAGAAAGTGTTTAATTTGGACTTAAGGAAAAAGGCTTTATGTATGGAAATTTTTAAAGAATGGGATTAAACCTCTTTTAGTTTCCTGCGTTGGGCATCATGGGCAGCTGCACTGTGGAGTAGGAAGAGTCGAGATAGCTGGCCATCCCAGCTTCCCTGAAAGTCATGCTCCTTAGGACAGGGATAGGTTCCTGCAGGAGAGTTTGTTCTCACTGCTACTGGCCATAGTAGATTGGCCATAGGAAGACAACGGGCTCAAATAAGAACAATAAATTTAATTCTTAGAAATGTGCCATTGGTATTTAGAGAACACAGCCTGTTACCTGGGACACTGGGCTGGGAAGCAGTACAATCCTGGGGGTGATGGCATTGCCCAACATGTGCCCTGAGGAATAGCCAAAGCTAATCCTGGAGTATGAAAATCGGCTGATACAAACCGAAATACAAGAGCCAATAACGATGGTGCCAAGGGGAGCAGAGGCTGACCACTTTCTGTGAAACCTGGCTGTCCTTCCTGATGGTAGGTTATATGCAAATCCCTGGTGTCTTCCCAATGCATTGTACTTACTGTATTAGCTATGCTGAATATGTTTCTGTAGCTTGCAGTTAAATGACATTTAATGCAGAGAGAGGTGAGCCATAACATCTGGGGTCATTTAGGAGAAACCAACCTGAAAGCAAAAGGAATTAATAATTTTAGAAGTTTTCTTCTCTTGATATAATTGAGTGAAAAATACTGTTCTTATCTAAGGGTTAATTTGCAAAGGTACAGCTATCTTATGCAGGACTCCTATCTTGTTAATTGGTAAAGATAACATTTTAAGTAAAAAGTATATGTTAATAGTGTTACATCCTGCTGCTAAAAATCCCAGTAATAATTTTAATCCTATATTTTTTGAATATTTAGTGTGTGTCATGTATGTGAACACTTGGCATGCATTTGCTCTACTGTCATGAGTCACTTAATGACAAGGATGTGCTATGGGAAATGTGTCATTAGGTGATTTTGTCATTATACAAACATGGTAGAGTGAACTTATACAAACCTACTACACACCTAGGCTATTTGATATAGCCTGTTGCTCCTAGGCCACAAACCTGTACAGCATGTTACTGTATTGAATACTGTAGGCAATTGTAATACAGTGATAAGTACGTATATAAACATATATAAACATAGAAAAATTACAGTAAAAATATGGCATAAGATAAAAACTGGTGCCCCTGTATAGGACACTTACCATAAATGGAGTTTGCAGGACTGGAAGTTTCTGAGTCAATGAGTGAGTGGTATGTGAAAGTAAAGACCTCAGACATGACTGTTCACTGCTATAAACTTTATAAATACTATAACCTTAGGCTACATTACATTTAGTTTGTCCCTACTTCATTGATTATCAGCAAGATTAAATATTTCATGTGTGTTGGTCATTTAGAGATGTTCTTTTGTGAAATGCACTTTCACGTCCTTTGTCTGCTGAATAAAGCTTGCTTATTAGGAGGCTTTAAAAAAATTTCAATAATTAACCTTAGTTTACTGTAACTTCAACTTACAAGCTTTTAAGTTTTTTAAATTTTTTAATTGTTTTATAATAACACTTAGCTGTACAATGTGTGTCTTAAGCTATACAAAAATATTTTTTATATCCTTATTCTATATGGTTTTATTCTATTTTTCAAATTATTTCACTTTTTAAACATTTTTATTAAAAACTAAGACACAAACACATTAAACTAGGCCTATACGGGGCCAGGATTATCAATATCACACTGTCTTTTACCTCCCCATCTTGTCCCAGTGGAAGGTCTTCGGGGGCAATAACACAGGGGAGATGTTATCTCCCATGAGAACAATACCTTCTTCTAGAATACTTCCTGAAGGATCTGCCTGAGGTTGTTTTACAGTTAACTTTTTTATATTAATAAGTAGAAAGAATGTACTCATGAATAATAAATAGTACAGTACATTCATTAGCCAGTAACATAATAATTTATTATCATTATGAAGTATTGTGTACTGTACATAATTGTGTATGCTACACTTTTATATGATAGGCATCACGGTAGGTTTGTTTATAGCAGCATCATCACAAAAACATGAGTAATGCATTGTCCTACAATGTTACAAGGCTACAATATCACTAGGTGATAGGAATTCTTTAGCTCCATTAAAATCTTATGAGACCACCATGCTTTACATAGTTATTCATTGACTTGAATGTCGTTATGTGCTGCATAGCTGTATATCAACTTCATAACATGAGGACTAGTTTTGCCTAGGTATTGTCATATGATTAGAAATACGAGGTAGCCTCAGAATAAATTATCTTATTCCTATTTCAGAAGAAAGAATAATAGAAAGACCAAGTATGATATGGTATCTATGCCATCTGTTATCTTCTGGTTATAATATAGTTTGACTGTGAATTTCTTAAAATGGCCAAGTCAAGCAAAATACATGTAGCCTGACCAATGTAGTGATATCATTAGCTTCTATATTCTAGACAATACAATTAATTATTTAATGCACTCATAAGTCAACAAAGATTCAGCTGAATATTTTCTATATGGAAGATATTCTACTGAGTGCTAGGGGAGTAAAAATAAATTAGAAATACTAGTGGAAGGATACATACAAACAGGTAAGTGTTATTGCAGAAGTTAGGGCAAAGAATTGTGGTTGCATTCTTTCAAGGGGGAAATCAGAGGTAGATGCTTGGGAGGTGTCAGGAAGGCTGAATAGAAGTGTATCAAGAGTGGCAGAGGAGGAGAAGCACTTCAAACAGAGGGAATACACGAGCACAAAAGCACAAAGCCTCGTGGTATCTTCAGAACAGCAGTTCTTTGTTGCTGGAGTAAAGATGTGTATGTACTAGAAGAGAAATCCTACATGGACATAAGACTGAAACGTGTCTTTTATACTAAGTAATGAGTCCACCCTTAATCCTAAATACCTCCATAAGAACAGAATTTTTAAAGTTAGGACTGACAAATGCCCGTTTGTTTATCTGAAGGTAACTGACAGCTATAGGGAGAGTGGACTGAAGGCAGGAAAATGAGAAAGCTGTTATAGAAATCTAGAGACCGGAAACAGTGGCGTTTGAGAAAGTCAAGGACAGTGCAGTACAGAAATATAACAGTATGCAAGTGATGTCTTGAGATAGAATCAGCATGATTTATTGATGCATTAAACATAGGAAGGGAAGGAGAAACATGATAATTCCAAGGCTCCTAGCTGACAACTCTGTGGACAGTATACCAATAACCAAAGAAAGAACAGAGGAGTTCAGTTTTGGAGGGAGATTGGGAAGGCAACAAGATTAGGCTTTGGCAAGCTGCATTTGAGGAGCATGTGGAATAGGTAGCTGGAGATGTCTAGCAGCCACTGAAAGTGCAACCTCAGATTACATTTGCTTGCAAAGCAATCATGACCCATCATCAATTGACATTCATGCGTTTTAGGATATATACTGCCATCAAGCACTTTTCTCATCTCTCCCATTATTCTAAAAAATACTTTTTATTATCCTAACTGGGAAACTTATCTAATTTTCTAATTAAACTTTATTTTGTAGGTTTCTATCGAGATAATTTTGCATCTTGATAGAATTGTTGGTTAATCAGATTTCAGCTTTTGCTATTCATAGTCTAATATTCTGGCACTATTTCTTCACCCAAGTGGTTAAAAATGTTGAGCAGGACCAAAAGCAATCACTAGGTCTCACCAGCACTGAAGAGTTGTGATTATTCCACATTTTGTGCCACACCTTCACCCCTAAACTTCTCACCCTTTTCTACCTTGCTTTTGCTACAGAAATTTGGCTCTTACTAACTACGAAAATGGAGCATCTTTTCCCTCTGACTTCTGGTTGGATCTGCCAGTGGAAGACCCAGTAAGAGGATCTGAGAGTGGAAGCAGGGAGAGTTCAAAGTACCGTTTTCCCTACTCTCTCTCTTCCTCAACACTGGGGGCTCTGTCAGTGGTTGCTTTTGTCATGCACTCCTCCTTTCTTGGCTCCAACTGTCATTTGGACTCTAGCGACATCATGATTTCTCTTTTAGCCCCTCATGTCCCCGGGCAGTAATAGGTTCTGAGTCCCTGGGTACCTCAACATACCTCTTGGTACCCTTGGATCCACTCATATCTAGGCACAAAGACCATTAATTTCTATCCAAAATCCCAGAGGGGCATCTTGACTTACAGCCATGGTCTGATGAATTCACTGCCACTGAATATGACATTTTAGATGTCTCTTATGTGATTTTTTTCAACATGGTGCAATGAAGTTGTTATAGAGAACTTACAATGTTTCACTTAAATAATTTTTCTATCATCCCAACATGATATGCTACTACAAAATGATATAGTATAATAGCTTCAAACAATTTAAGGGGAAAAACACCCAGCTGTGATCAGAGAGTGCACAGTCCACACACAACCCAAACCCTCGCCTCCATTAGTTCCTTATTTAGTTGTTATTTCCCCACTGTGAAAATCACAATATAAGTCAAGAGTAGCTGTTTGCAGTAGAAATGATATACCAACTTATAAATGTCTCATCAAGAGTAAACATTTGTAGTTTAGTCATAGGAGGTCACTCCATAGCCCCAGGGTGCCCTGGGCACTTTTCACTACATAATGAGCAACTAGGTTACTCTGATCATAGCTACTGCCTGTCAAATGTAATCCAGCTAAAAGAGATCTGGGTATTTACAATCTCAATATTATTGTTTGCACTAATGTAAGTAGAAAGAAGAATGTATTTGGCATCAAAAGCTTAGAAGCAAGGGTCTCTTTCTTGCCCTACCAAGGGTAGACAAGGGCTCAGTTGCCCAGACCATAGAAGCCAGGTTCAAATAGGGCTCTTGGAAGATGATTTATTTGCTATTTAAAACATATCAGTCCCTTGACTGTTGTGTCAAATGTAGTGAAATGGGTAGGGAGTGAGGGCTAGAGACGGGGAAGGACATAATTACTCTCAACTTTTCTGCACCAACTTTTCTGATGTAGAATAGGATATTTCTAATCCAGTCTTTTGAGAACATAAATGGCTATCTGGTCACATGAAAAAATTCCAATCCCAAAGCCGAAGGCATTAGTAAGCCCAGGATGATGCTAGAAAGCTGA